CATAAAATCATAAGAATTCACTACAGATATTTGCACTATCATGTTCATTGTAGCATTTTTCACAATAGCTGAGATATGGAAGGACCTTAAATGTCCATCAATGGATAAACAGATAAATATATAAAAGGGATATAATGCGATATATATATATGTACCACAGTATCTATATAAAATGGAATACTATTCAGCCTTAAAGAAAAAGGGAAATTCTGTCTTTACAACAACATTCATGAACCTGCAGGACATTATGTGAAGTGAAAGAAGCCAGGCACAGAAAGACAAATACCACATGATCTCACTCATATGTGGAATCTAAAAAAGTTAAACTCATACAGGTGGAGAGTAGAATGATAGCTACCTGGGGGGCAGGGGAGGGAGAAAGGGGGGATTTTAAACAAGTAGATTTTAAATGTTCTCACTATAAGAAAAATAAGTGAGGTGATGACTGTGTTAACTGGACTTAATCATTCCATATTGTACATACACACACACGCATGCGCGCACACACACACACACACATCTCTCTCTCAACAGATCACATTGTACCTAATAAATATATAAAATTGTTATTTGTCAATTAAAATAATAAAAGACTGGAGTAATATTTAAGATTTTTTTCACCTGTTGCAGGAAAAATCTTGGAATTGAATTTAAAAGACAACTGGGAAGGCATAAATAATATAGGTCAGTCTCAAAGAGCACCTCATTAATAAGGAAGAGTTTAGTCTTTATGTATTTTAGTTTTTCTGTTGAATGGCTCTCAAGTCTCTCCTTTTTTTCCAGTTGTCTTGTAAATTTGACCCTTAGCCCCATAGGAAACTGAAAAAATCAGACAGCTCAGTCAAACCTGTTCCTTTCGTTGTAAATGTAACTCACAGCATCTTTTCCCATGTTTGTTGGTGATAAATTCACTGTCATCTCAGTAAGACTATAACATCATGCTGAAGATATTTCTGTGAAGAGTTTTGTACTGAGAACATCACACCAGGACAACTCCTTGAAGGGCATTAATTGCAGCTTTGGGATTTATACTCCCAAAGACCCCAATCAGTGAAAGAGTATCCCATTATTCTTTTTGTTTCCATAAAGCTTGCATTTGCTCTGGGATAAAGGGTCCATCCCGTGATACCTTGAATGCCCTAAAGTATTCCCACATTCTGCTAAAAAGCAGATCTTTTGGAGAAACTCAGGCTGTCTTTTCTGTAGCAATGACAATCACAGTTATTTCCAGACTCTGTTGTCCATAGTTAGATTTAAAACATTGGCAAAAATGTTATAAGAAGGCAATTAGGTTGATGTTTTTAGGTTGTACAGCAACCAGAGAGCCCCTTCGTCAGTTTATACATGATAAGGTCATAGGTCAAGAGGAGAATGACAGGAAACAGGGACAAGCACAGGAAGGTCAGTACTGAAAGAAGTTGGTGCACTTCTTAAGGGGTAGACAGCTTCCATATTTCAAAATTGCAGAAAGTGTAGATTTTAAATGTTCTTACTACAAAAATATGATGGATGTGAGGTGATGGATATATTAACTAGCTTAATATAATCATTCTGTAATGTATATATACATCAAAACATTACAATGTACTCCATAAATATATGCAATTATTACTGGTCAATGAAAAATTAAGAAAACAAACCAGATATAGTATAAAGGAATGGATGTGACACAAGTTGGCAAAATGTCTCTTAATAATAACTGGGGAAGGAAGAGACACTCGACCATCCATTTTCCCTACAGTGTTTGATTTAGAAGAGAGAGAAGGTATTTTATTCCACAGCTCATAGAAGCTACATTTGATAGGGTCTTCATTTCCCTCTTTTCCACCAAGAAGAAAATCGAAGCTGCAAACTTTTCTCTACATGAGTTCTGGGGTTTTTTTTGTCCCTTATTTCCTATCCCTTTTATCAACTCTGGAGGAATGCTGAAAGATGAGTCATACAACAGATAGTTATCAGATTCCACTTTTTAATTACTGTAATAAGGAACCAGGCAGCTGCAATAGAAAAGAAAATTAGGTCTACATCAGCAAAAGTATACACAGCATTTGAGTTCAAGTATCTTATGGCATATTACCTTTAATCCTAGGGAGATTTTAAAAAAATTCTTGGAATTTTCCCATGATTTCTCAAAAGGTTAATGCTCATTCCATTACCAACAATATGGAAAAATGTACAGTATCTTTGTACCTGTCTGGAGCATTTGCATAGATTTGGCCCGAGTTTAATGTTCCTAGCTCTCCAGCTGTAACTCGACCAATTAGGCAACTCCTTACATCTTTTTCAAGAGTCAAGATTACAATATTTGAGTATTAAAAGTTTTTCAAAACACTGAAGGTGAGTCGGGTGTAGATAAATTTGTCTTTTGCCTTATTATCATTATTATTTTTTTGAGACAGAGTCTTGCTCTGTCACCCAGGCTGGAGGGCAATGGTGCGATCTCAGCTCACTGCAACCTCCGTCTCCCAGGTTCAAGTGATTCTCCTGCCTCAGCTTCCAGAGTAGCTGGTATTACAGGTGTCCACCACCATGCCTGGCTAATTTTTGTATTTTTTAGTAGAGACGGTGTTTCACCATGTTGGTCAGGCTGGTCTCGAACTCCTGACCTCAAGTGTTCCACCTGCCTCGGCCTCCCAAAATGCTGGGATTACAGGCATGAGCCACCACACCCAGCCTCTTTTGCCGAATTTATCAGAGAGTACAAGAGGAAGAGTTGGCTGTGGCAGGAGGGGAGCAGAAGGGGGATGGCAATGCTATTTAGGAATATTGAAATGCTGGGTTCCTGTATTTTATTGCAAAAACTGTATCATAAAAGAGTGTTTATCTTTCTCATGCAAGATTGGTAGTGTGCAAGAGAAAATAAGCAACTGAAAATCAAACTATCAAAGCATATTTGAATTTCTTCTTTATTTTTAAAAAATAACTACAAGGTGAATTTTCTGGATTTTATACAATGCTCATGTATCTTTCTACTAATATTAATGTCTGTTCAGGAGCTCCATTACAAATTGTAGAAACCCCAGAAAATGCAAATTATAAATTGTGACTCAAAATTTAAAGTATAGTTCAGTTATTGGCCTAAAGCATATAAAATTTTGTAGAAACCATGTTTAAGTCTTCTTGTCCCTGTCAAACAATCCTGTTATATATTCTTTCAACTTCAAATACCACATTCAGACCTCCTCTTCACTGTTGTGCATCCAAACACTGTCCCTTTCTCTCTTACCAACCTATGTTTTTGTTAGACTCTGTAATCTTTGTATCTTCCAGTAATATAGTCTCATTCACCTTTGGAAGCATTCTATCACCGATTACTCTATTTTGCTTTATTAATCGGCTTTGTGTATATTGTGAATTTTTATAAGTTGGTGTGTTTGTGCATATTCTGTTTAAACTTTCATTTTTGTATTATTTGTCTAGAAATAAACTGCTAGCATAAATAAATAGCAGTTAATTTTTTCTATAATCATTCAATTATTTCTTTTCAGTTAATATTTTAAAGTGACTGCCTAATTGCTTTTTAATATGGGAAATTCCTATCTGTAAGTAAGATTATTAAGACTGCTGTTATTCCTTTCTCTGTAATTGCAAAATTGGAAATAGCCTGAAAATATAAAAATAATCAAATTAACTTTTTAAAGTAAAAAATTATTTTTCATAGTTATTGTGTTCCTGATTATGGAATATCATAGTCTTCATTAATCCAAATGTTAACTCAGGGATGTATATAAAAGAACTCAGTAACTTGAGAAGCTATTGCTTGTATCCACAGCTGGATAAATATCTCAATGAAGCATGTAAAGGGAACTGTATAAAAATTCTACTGACATTATGATGCATACTGTCTGGAAGTGGGATTTGTGCTCAGTCTGTTTGCTAGTGAGCTATTGACAATGCATGGACAGACTGAGTTTATGTGATTCTTTCTTTAGGTACAAGAAAAAAATGAATGATGGTGGAAAAAAACACAAGTTCTGAAGACTTCTTTATTCTACTTGGATTTTCTAATTGGCCTCATCTGGAAGTAGTTCTGTTTGTGGTTATCTTGATCTTCTACCTAATGACACTGACAGGAAACCTGTTCATCATCATCCTGTCATACCTGGACTCCCATCTCCACACTCCCATGTACTTCTTCCTTTCAAACCTTTCATTTCTGGATATCTGCTACACCACCAGCTCTATCCCTCAGTTGCTGGTCAACCTCTGGGGCCCGGAAAAGACCATCTCTTATGCTGGTTGCATGGTTCAACTTTACTTTGTTCTCGCACTGGGAATTGCAGAGTGTGTCCTACTGGTGGTGATGTCCTATGACCGTTATGCAGCTGTGTGTAGACCTTTGCATTACACTGTCCTCATGCACCCTCGTTTCTGCTGCTTGTTGGCTGCGGCTTCTTGGGTAAGTGGTTTTACTACCTCAGCACTTCATTCTTCCTTTACTTTCTGGATATCTCTGTGTGGACATCGCCTAGTGGATCACTTCTTCTGTGAAGTTCCAGCACTTCTGCGTTTATCATGTGTTGACATCCATGCAAATGAGCTGATCCTCATGGTCATGAGCTCTATTTTTGTTCTTATACCTCTCATTCTTATTCTCACTTCCTATGGTGCCATTGCCTGGGCCGTACTGAGCATGCAATCAACCACTGGGCTTCAGAGAGTGTTTGGGACATGTGGAGCCCATCTTATGGTTGTATCTCTCTTTTTCATTCCAGTCATGTGCATGTATCTCCAGCCACCATCAGAAAATTCTCCTGATCAAGGCAAGTTCATTGCCCTCTTTTATACTGTTGTCACACCTAGTCTTAACCCTCTGATCTACACGCTCAGAAACAAGGATGTAAGAGGGGCAGTGAAGAGACTAATGGGGTGGGAGTGGGGGATGTGACAGGGAAATCATGTTGGCTGTTGTTGTTTTTCCTAGGGTCTCATCCATCTTGAAAGATGGTTTCTCTGCTTCTTTGTGATTTATTTTTGTTCTAACAGCTCACAAAACATGGAATAGTTCAGTCTCACATTTGTTGCTCTTTTTATTATTCAGTTGTGAAATATTATCTTGAGATAAAGTTTTTGATTAGTGTCACTTTGGTCTTTTACAATTCTATATTTTATTTCCGTGACAATTGTGGACTGTGGTTTCAACATAAATAAATGTGTGTGTGAATAGTTGCTGACGAGTTGATGGGTGCAGCACGCCAATGTGGCACAAGTATACATATGTAACAAACCTGCACGTTATGCACATGTACCCTAGAACTTAAAGTGTAAAAAAAATGTTGGAAATATTTCTAACAGTGTGCTAAATTATGAATTGACTATTGATGTATACAGAAAGAGAAGGGCAATATTGCAAAGACTTAGGCTAAAAAAGTTTTTGGTTATTGAATAAACCTTAAATGAAGCTAAAAATAGTCACAGCAAAGAAAAATGGTAACCATAATGAATAATATTGTTTATTTTATGGTAAAGTATATATCATAAGTTTTTGGCTGAAAGACACTTTTTAAAGACTCTAAATCATCTAATTTATCCTGTAGGTCTACATACTTGTCACACTGAACAGTAAACTAATGTCTCTTTAAAATGGCTCATTCATTCTTCTGTCCATTTATTCATTAACTTATTCTTCATTAGCTGAATCTTATTGAATGTGTACTCTCTCCCAGTTTGTGAAATTCTTGGTAACATGTATAAATATAACATACTCTGTCTGAACAGAACGCACTCTCTGTCCCTCCATCTGGAAAAATGGCAATGTAAAAGATGAAGTATCCGTTCATGGCTTAATTTGTCACTGGGGGTAATGCTAATAAATTAAGATAGCTTTTAAGAGTCAGAAACAATAAACTCTGATTACTCTTCAGATCGTGTAAATCTTTCACTTTTTAAAAATCAAAAACAAGGCCAAGCGCGGTGGCTCGCGCCTGTAATCCCAGCACTTTGGGAGGCTGAAGCAGGTGGATCATGAGGTCAGGAGATCGAGACCATCCTGGCTAACATGGTGAAACCCCATCTCTACTAAAAATACAAAAAGATTAGCCAGATGTGGTGGCACACGCCTGTAGTCCCAGGTACTCAGAGGCTGGGGCAGAAGAATCACTTGAACCTGGGAGGCAGAAGTTGTGGCGAGCCAAGATTGTGCCACTGCACTCCAGCCTGGGTGACAGGGCGAGACGCCATCTAAAAAAAAATAAAAAAAATGAAAAACAAACAAGATGTTTAGCCATAAACTCTGAAAGTAAATACCACTTGATGGCTCCTGTAGGAAGACAATGCTAGTAAATGAAACAAAACAGAATATGTGCTTAATTTGCTTTAGTTGGTGTAGTTAATGACATGTTGAAGATAGCTTAAAACTCTTAACATTATTGTCCTTTGCTGAATAGCATTATTTTAAAAATCCTTCATTTTGATTTTTTCCAGTTTTATTGAGGCATAAATAAAATTGCATATATTTAACGTGCACAATGTGATTATATAGAAATCAAACCAAATTGTGAAATTATTACCATAATCAAACTAACACATCCATCATCTCACATAGTTATTGTGTGTAGAGGGAGCGGGGAGGTTGAGGACACTTAAGATCTAATCTCTAAGCAAATTTCAAGTATACAGTACAGTATTATTAACTACAGTCACCATGATCTACATTAGATCTCCAGAATGTATTCATCTTATGCCAGAAATTTTGTACCATTTGACTGTCTCTCCACTTCCCACCCTGCAGCCCATGGCAACCACCATTCTATTCTCTGCTTCTATAAGTTCAACCTTTTTATTTTTTGATACAGGGTCTTACTCTGTCACACACGCTGGAGTGCGATCTCGACTCACTGCAACTTCTGCCTCCTGGCTTCAATTAATTCTCCTGCCTCAGCCTCCCCAGTAACTGGGACTACAGGTGCCCACCACCATGCCCAGCTAATTTTTGTATTTTTAGTAGAGATAGGGTCTCACCATTTTGGCAAGGAGGGTCTTGAACCCTTGACCTGAAATGATCCACCTGCCTCAGCCTCCCACAGTGCTGGGATTACAGGTTTGAGCCATTGTGCCTGTCCGAGTTCAAAGTTTTAGATTTCACATGTAAGTCATATCATACATCTTTTGTCTTTCTGTGTCTGGTTTATTTCACGTAGTACAACGTACTCCATCTGTGTTCTAAAAATCAGCAGGATTTTCTTCTTTTTTATGGTTGAATAATATTTCAGTGTGTGTGTGTTTGTGCGTGTGTGTGAAATGACATTTTTAAAATCCATTCCTCTGTCAGTGGATGCTTAGGTTGTTTCTTCATCCTAGCTATCATGAATAATGCTACAATGAACATGGGAGCATAGACATCTCTTCAAGATCCTTATTTCTTTTTTTATATACATACTCAGTGGGATTGCTGGGATCAAAAGCAAAAAAATAAATCTAGTTTCTACAATAAAAACAAGTGTTTCACAAGTGCTAGACTGTTAAACTAGAGCCTCTTTTTTGATTAACTGGTGATTTAGAGATGGGCATGGTGGACAGTCATCTCAGGAATACTTGGCTTTCATGTAATGAACAAGCCTCTTACTACCTTCCCTATTATCATCATCATTTCCAGATCATATCTTTATCACACTAAGTCTGGCAACATATATGGTGCATGGGTTTAAAGATGGTTGTAGAAAAGACACCTAACACCTCTCAAGCTTTGTCTTTATAGACTCCATTCCATCCTTGGTTTATTCGTGTATTGATGAGAGTATTGATAGCGAGAGTAACAATTATATTGAAAAGACTAAGAGGCTTGCCCTGGTTTTGGCAAGTAAGGTTTGTTTGCTAGAGAGCTATGTATATCCATAATCTACAACTGCACCTATTTCTCTCTGTTTGTCTCTCTCTTTTTCTGTCTGTCTCTATTATCACTCTGTGTTGTGGTGGCATAGGAGAGACTCATGATGGGAAGACATAAATGTTGGAAGTTTTCTTTCCTTGAGCATCTGATTTCATAAAACATCAAGTCACCACATGCAGTTTCCCTATGAAAGACAAGGATACGAATGAGTGGCACAAGGATAATAAGGATGGTAAACACAAAAGCCTCAAGGGCTATAGTATCTACACAGTAGGGCAATGTCTGGGTCGAGACCGGCAATATGAGAGCATTGCCAAATATTTGGGTATATGATGACAGTTAGTGCAGGATTTTGCAGACTGCAGTACATTTCTCATATATCTTTATGGTCGGGAGGATACACTTCCACCCCAGTGCCAGGAAAAGATAGTGCTCATGGCAAACGTAGGTAGAGATAGGTACAGTCTTATCTGGGACTCAGATAAGATCACACAACTTTGAAGGGATGAGGCTTGTGGTGAAGCTCACATCTAGTAATGAAAACGTGACTCCCTGAAAAAACACTGGTATGAGGAACTGGAAATCTAAGCTGAAATCAAGGAAATATGTATGTTTCTCAATGAGTCATCAGGTAAAATGTGAGGAAAATCACAAAGAGAATCATCTCTAGGCAGGGATAGTCAGAGAAATTTTCCAGGGTGCACTTTTTTAAAGACCGGTTATTTTCTTTTTCTTTCCCTATATCCTTGCTTTACCTCTTCGGAGAAAGACAAATATCAGGAAAGGATATAATTAGTAATTTCAAAATGGAATGACTTTAGATGAGAAATGAACATTTGACTAGGAGTTTCAGTAAAAAGACATTGAACGATAAAAAAAGACATTAAACAATCATAAGATCTGAGGTGCATAACTTTTTTGGGGGGCACTGTTACTGGTCTTGGCTATGAATAGTTACTTTTTTTTTTCATTTCAGGTATACAAAAAACTCAATATTCTTCATCTTTCTTTTTTTTTTTAATTTGGAGGAGATTCCAAATTTTTATTTTTCCACTCAAAGATAACCCGAACGATGTCTCCCTATGAGTCACTGGCATTCTGACATTTATCTCTGGGTAAGAGAACCAAGGTACCCTAAATCAAGCTTGGCCAACCACAGCCCATGGGCTGTGTGTGGCTCTGGATGGCTTCAAATGTGGCCCAATACAAATTCATAAACTTTCTTAAAAGATTATGAGCTTTATGCACAGACTTTTCTTCTTCTTCTTTTTTTTTTTTTCCTTATCAGCTATTGTTACTGTTAGGGTATTTTATGTGTGGCCCAAGACAATTCTTTTTCTTCCAGTGTGGCCCAGGGAAGCCAAAAGATTGGACACCCTAAATGAGCAATTTAAATAAATAATTCTTGTAAACCTGTCCTTACCAGATCTAGCCCATATGTGAACCCCATAAGCTTATAAATGACCAGGCACTATCCTAGAAGGCAGATAATGAGATTATTTGTGATATATATTTTTTCTTTTTTTGAGATGGAGTCTCACTCTGTCGCCCAGGGTGGAGTGCAGTGGTGCCATCTTGGCTCAATGCAACCTCCCTCCTGGGTTCAAACGATTCTCCTGCATCAGAACAGCTTCTTGAGTAGCTGGGACTACAGGTGAGCGCCAGCATGCCCGGCTAATTTTTGTATTTTTAGTAGAGATGGGGTTTCACCATATTGGCCAGTCTGGTCTCAAACTCCTGATCTCGTGATCTGCCCACCTCAGCCTCGCAAAGTGCTAGGATTACAGACGTGAGCCACTGCGCTCAACCCATGATATATCTTTATAATTCCATCCTTTTTTTTTTTTCAAACCACTGTGTCTAACATTTATCTTAAGATGAGAATGAAAAAGCTTCTGCCAGCATCTCAGTAATGCTATACCTTGTCCTAACACAATCTCAGTGGTATCATCATATTTTACATCGTGTGTGTGCTCACCTTAGGAGTGCATAGTTTTTCTGATAGCTTATGAAGATGAAAAGAATGGGAAAAGGAAATCACATCTTGCAACAACTAAATG